ATCAGTGGGTCACCTGAAGAGCAGGACCCTCCCCAAGGTGCTGGGCCCACCCACACCTTGGGCACAGTGTCCTTATAAGGTGGGCAGACCTACCACAGTGGAGGGGCCATTGCGCCACAGAAACAGGGAGGGACTGGGAAGCTCATTTTCGGGGGGGGGGGACACTTAAAACCAGGACTTCTGTGCATTTCCAACCTTCCTCCTGGTCCAACACTCCTGACAGGTGTTTGGTTGCCCCCAGTGATGGGGCGCTCACTTATTTACCAGTCAGCCAGTTCTACTATTGGAGGGCTGCTTAGAAAGTCCTTATTTCTCCTGAGTTCAACTCTCCACACCCATCCCTGCCCTATCTCGTGCGCCTTATTCCTCCCGTATCCCACATATTTGCTCAACAAGTACTCTTTGAGCTCCTGGTGGGTGCTAGGCCCTGGGTGCACACTGGAGAACAAGACAGGCAGTGTCCCTGCTGCGCCAAGGTCCACAGTCCACCTCTTCAGCCTTAAGTTTCTCTTCCACATACCAGCCTCCCTGGACATGGCCTACTGTCCAACAGGCTCTGCTCCCACTCCCAACCCCCTCCAGCCACCCAGGCTCTCAGAGAAAAATGTCCATCTCCCTCGGGAATAACTGCCAAAATCTAAGTCAATCCTAAGAATGCAAACAAGACTTTTAACACCCAGAACGGGAGGGGGTGCGGGAAGAAGAGTGACACTGATCAGGTGGTCCCCACTGCCACAGGTCGTACCATGTCACCCTCATCACAACTGCATGAGTAGGCTTTGCTATCCTCATACACAGGAGGAAACTGAGCCTCAGAAAGGTGAAACAACTTGCTCAGGGACACACAGGAAGAAGTGACTGAGCAGGCTCCAAACACAGGCCAGCCATGTGGCCCTTTCCTCGCACGTGTGGCCTAGGGTCTGCCGTGCCCACCCCCTCCCTGTCTGGGCCTGTGCAGTGGAGGTCCCAGCCCTGTTCTCTGGGCATTTTCTTGCTCCCATGGAAACCAACAATTAAACTTGGAGAAGACAATCTGAAAGATGGATAGGGCTCATCTACAAAGAATGAGGTTTTTTTTTTAATTCAAAAGCTTCTCTAGCTTCCGGGAACCTAAGAATGGCGATTAGACAAGAGCTGCAATTAATACTTTGTGTGTACAGGCAGCACGCCCCACCCCATCTGCCAACCTGTCCCCTCCTCTCTCATCTGGCAGGGCATTTCACAAGGGACAGGCTGCAAGGGGGAAACTGAGGACCGAGACTCAAAATCGGCTCCACCATACCCATCCAGCACCCACTGACCCCTGGAAAAAGAAATACACCCATCTCCACCCCCTCACACAGAACTGGCCCAGGGCTGGGGTTCTTGGAACCAGCAGCAAAGCACATTTCACTGAGTTCAAGGGGAGAGGTTGGTGCCACCTCTTTGGCTGTGGAATTTGATTTCGAAGGATACGTGTGGGACTTCTCAAAACCTACATGGGTGTCTGGTCTCAGCCTTCCTTCTACCGTCTTACCAGTGTCACCAAATCAGAGCTCCAACAGCACACGCACGGCTGCTGTGAAGGAGGGAGTTCATTCAAGTACCGTGACACTCCTTCCTTTTTTTCTTCTCTCACTTTTTTCTTCGGAACAATGGAAATACTGGAGTTGAAAGTTTTCCTCTTTGCTTTGGCTCTCATGAAAAGGAAGCTTTGTGTCTAGCCCACCTCCACACACAGTGCCTTTCGTTTTATTATTACTGTTATTCTAATAGTGTAATTTTCTTATTCTTTTTTTGCTCCTACATCTAAGTTTCCTTGTATCTAGTTCATCTTGCTGCAGTACCTGAATCTTACTGTCCCACCTCAAACTATGTTTTGGAATAAGGTGAGGTATGAATGAAGATGTAGGGGGAGGTGGGCAGGGAGTGGGGGGGTGGGAGTCGGTCAAGGGAGAGAGATGCAAAAGGGGCATCTGGGTGTCAAGAGGACACCAGAGAGGGAACCCTAATGGAGGCAGGGACTTGGCGTCCTGTGAGGGGCCACGAGGCCAGCTGCCACCACTAGCTTCATTTCTCCATCCACTGTTAGCCCCTGATCTGTAGCCAGTGGGTAAGGAACTTTTCTTCTTCCACAGGTTCTCGTGATGGAGCTACTGGCAGGACGAGCCCCCCATCTGCCCCACTCCTGCCTCGTTCTGAGCCTGTCTGCCCCGGGCTTCCCTGAGGAATGTCACGCTGTTTCCAAGGACTCCCTGACCTTCCAGGCTCCATTCCCCGGATCAGCAGAGCAAGGGGTCCTAATCTAGATATTTTGTATCTCTTGTAAATTCCCTCCCTCCTGGAGAGGAAAATGGGGGCTGTGCATTAACTCCGCTTTGCTGATCAACATCTCCTGGGTAGCTCAAATGTGTCTCTCTTTGGTCCTTTCCTCAATACTTGCGGATAGCCTCTAGATTGAGTCATGTCTCTGAGGCGACTGTGAACACCATCATTTCCAATAGCCCAGCCTGCCACTTGCAATTATCCAGATTAATGCCAAGTGGGCACAGGGCGTGTTCTGGCTAAGCCCACGTCCACTTGGAACCCTGGGCATCTTGGCTAGGCTGGTGGCCAGAGCCCAAGTCCTCTGTGTTCTCTGGACCTCTCGCATGTGGACTGGGCACCTGCTCCTGACAACACACTGGGGGTGGGAAGGGGTGCTGGCAGCATCACAGTGATGAATCCCAGGGTCTGCATGTGTACTCTTCTCGGAGCACCCAGGACACGATGCTCAGGAGGACATTGGCGTTTCGTGCGATACCCATCCTTTCCTCTGAACAAGGAAAAAGGAAAGGAGCAAACGGAAATAAGACCTGACATTCCCGCGTCCAGTCCATTTCTTTCCCTGCTCCTGGGGCCTGGGCAGGAGCCCATGTCCACTGAAGGCCTCACTCCAGGAAATCCTCATGGGACCATATATATATATATACCCCAAAGGCCTCTGGCCCCCACTTCACCTGGTGGCACTCTCTTCTCCCTTTCCTGTGTTTTGTTTTTAAGACAGAAAAATGAATTGTTTGATGCACTTTTAAACTGTAGAAAAGATCTCCACTTCACTGAGTGATTATGACGTGTGTTGCCCACATACTCACAATCTTTAGGGAGAAAAGTGAGAAAGAGGAGAGCAAGTGAGGGGATGCACAACAGGGAGTCATGTGAGGAGTGGGCTGGGAAAAAGAAGGAGGGAGAAAAATCACCAGGGAGAAAAATGAATGGGAGAGGTCAGGGAGCTACAGAGAGAGAGGAGTCAGGATATCTGCTGAATGCATGAACAGAATGCTGAAACATCCTCACTGCAACAGGCAGACACTAAGGGTCAAGGTGGGAGAGGGGACTCCTCGCCCACAGTCCCACAGCTAGTAAGGGCCGGAGGGAGGACAAGACCCCGGGGCTCCCAATACCTGCTCTAAGGGAACGTCAGTCTCACTTCCTCACGTGCTGGTGTTTGAGATCCACAAGATCTGGGTCTGGTCTCTTCAGAGCCTGCCCAGGAAACAAGGGTAGCCTGGTGCCTTTTGCCCAGACCAACTCCCTAATTGTGTGCCCCTCATAAGAAACCTGGTGCAGGAAGAAATGGGGGGACAGGAACCCCAGTTCTAGTTGCTGCTTTGCCTCCGATCTGCTGTGTGACCTGGAGCAAGTGCCTTCTCCTCTCTGAAGAGATCCCTGAATCCCCTCTGTAAGGTGTGACCAGGGGCTGCACAGTAAGCCAGGCTGGCTTTGCTGAGTCCTCACAGCAATCTTCACCCCACACAGCTGGACTGCATACCACAGGTGCTCAATAGCTATTTCATGGCAATTACCCTAGCCACTAAACGCAAACTCTAGGCTGATTGGGAGGGCTGGGCAAGCCGGGAGTCAGCAAAGCGGCCCCCTGAATGGGAAGGATGGTTGTGTTTGAGACTGTTGGGAGAAATTATTATTATATCCGGAAATGGGACATTCATGCTGTCTCAAAGGCAGACAGGGTGAAGGCAAACCCCTTGGCCTCTGCTTACAAGTATTGGAATCCCTGGCATCCCACTGCCTACATGCCTACAAAAAGGTGTACCTCATTCACCACCACTGATTACTCCTCCTGGGCTCTGCAAATTGCGGGCAATGAGGCCGTAATTGCCTGGAGTTCTCAGCTGCCAGTGTGCGCTATGAGCCCCAAAGCGCGGGAGCCACCGCACTCTTTGCTCCCCCAAGCCTCTCTCCACAGATCACTCCATCCTCTCCTACCAGTCTCCTCGTCACCAGCCAAGCTTGGATAAAGGCCCTTGGTCACCCTCAGCCCTGCCTCAGCAGTCCTCCAACCTAGAGGGGGAGTTCCCCGCCCTTTGGAAATCACCCAAACCTCCGGATCAAATCGGAAACTTGACATCCTGGCTCCTTCCCCTTTCCTCACGCGCCTAGGAGAAGCGACAGCCCCCACGACTGCCTGCCGTCCCTTGTGGTACTCACCTTTCTACCACCTCCGCCAAACCAAGGTTCACCCCGACACACACACACACACACACACACACACACACACACACACACACACACACACACACACACACACACACACACACACACACACACTGCCCCGCCCAGCGCCTTCTCAGCGCTTGGTTGGACGAATCGAATCGCCTACCTCCTGCTGCCTTTATCCAAACCAGACCCCATGGGTTCCGGCTCAGTTGAACTTAAAGTGGAAGTACAATATAAAGTGAACAAAGCGGAAAAGAGCTTGAGCCTAGGCAAGGGTGTGAAAGCTACCTTGGACGTTTGCTAATCATGCGGAAAAGTAAGTCACGTGCACCTCAGTTTCCTCGTTTGTAATAAGGAACCAACAATACACCCCATGTGTGGCCCAAGCACTGTACTCTTCGGGTTCCAAACACCCCCCCACCCCCGCTTCTCCCCGCAGGAGGCCCCAGACCCCCGGACGTGAGGAGGCAGCAGGTCCAGGGCCCCGCCCCGCCGCGCTCCTCCCTGTTTCCAGCCCGAGCTACCTTCCTTGGGCGCATTGGCGTCCCAGACGCTCCACATCTGCACGAAGAAGAATGGCGTCCAGCACACGATGAAGGCCAGCACTATGATGAAGGTCATCTTGACCGTGCGGATCTTGGCCTTGGAGATGAGCTTGACGCTGCTAACGCGTGCCAGGGCCGCGCGTTGCCCGCTGCTCGCCGCTGCGCTCTGGGGCCCCTCGGCCGCCGCCGCCGCCGCCGTCTTGAGCCGAAAGTTCTGCCAGATCTTGAAGCTGATGAGGCCGTAGCAGGCGGCAAGCACGATGACCGGCACGATGTAGACGGCGAGCGTGATCCACGTGATGTAGGCCTTGGGCCCCCAGGGCTGGATGAAGACCGCCCAGCAATCGAAGACGCCGTCAGCCACCTCGCGCAGCGAGAAGATGTGCACCTGCGGCGCGCTAGCCACCAGGCAGCCCAGCCAGGTGGCAAGTACAGCCAGACGGTCCGCGCGGCGGCGCAGGGCGCGCAGCGGCTGGCAGATGGCCAGGCAGCGGTCGAGCGACATGAGCAGCAGCAAGTAGGTGGAGGCGAACATACCCACCACCTGCAGATACTTGACCAGGCGGCACAGCAGGTCCGGTCCGTAGAAGCGGAAAGTGATGTCCCACAGCAGCTGCGGCAATACCTGGAACACAGCCACCACCAGGTCGGCGATGCTCAGGTGCTTCATGAAGAAGAAGAGGCGCGAGTGCTTGTGGCGCGTGGTGCGCAGCGCCAGCAGCACGCACGCGTTGCCGCTCAGCGCCAGGAAGAGGATGAGGCACAGCACCGCCACCTCCACGCGCGCCAGGGCCTCGTTGCGCTGTGGCGGCCCGGCCGTGCGGTTGCCTTCGGCCCCTGGTGGAGCCGCGCTCCCATTGACCGCATCGGCGCTCCAGTTGGCCACAAGCGCGCCCTCCATGACCGTGGCCACCGCGGTGCTCTCCTGGCCTTGCAGCCCCTTACGACGTGGGGCGACGGGGCGGGGCCCGACGAAGCGGTTCCACTCCCGGAGACTCCGCTGACCTATCTGCCAGGTGGAGCCCTGAAACAAACCCCCAGGGCCTTGAAAAGACCGTCGCTTTTCCCTCCCAACACAAGTACAGCACAGGTGTCCCCTTCCCAGGAGCCCCAAATAACCTGGGACTCGCGGCACAATTGCGGGCCCCGGGGTTGCTCAGCCGCTACCCCGGAAATCCCGGTTTTAGATACCTCCTCTGAGCCACCGAAATGAGCGCGAATCTACCGGACCGCCAGTTCCTTGGGGGATTCAGTCACTTCCACTGAAGGAGAGGGGAGAGCCATAATCAGCCACTTTCCTCCGGGACTGGGACTCCTAAACCAGCCACCTTCCCCAGGGATCTCCAAACTAGCTAATGCCCCCCCCCGCCCCCGCCCCTCAGCATAGCCACCTCCCATGAGACCCCCAAACCAATCACCTTTCCTAGGAAACCTTACTCCAGTTTTCCTCCGGAGATCCCCCCAAAGCATTTACCTGGGAAACCCCAAGCTCAGGACCATCCTCCAACCAACCTCCTGTTTCTAAGGCACTCAGCCATCCTCCCACCCCGAACTTCCACAGCAGCTGCTTCCCCCGAACTCCAGTACAGCTGTCCCTCCTGAAGGAATCCCTGCCTCAATGCCTAACCCCGGGACACCCAGCCGCTGTTCCCAAGCCCTCTCCCGCGGGGAGCCTCCCCAGCTCAGCGGCCTCGAGGTTTAGGAATCCCACGCGCGTCTTTTCCCCTCCGACAGTCATCTAGATCCGGAGCACTTTACAATCTCGATCTCGGAGCACCCCGCGCGCCTCCAGGAACCAGGAGCTCGAGGCACTCCCCCACTTCCACTTGGGTCCCCATGGCCGCATCAGTCCCAGCCATCCCATCCACCGGTGGGCAGGACCCAGCTACCTGCACCGAGTCCACAGACTGGCCTCAAGTTGACTCCGCGGGGAAGTTGCACCGCCGCGCAAGGCTCCAAAGATGCGTTCGCTCCCGTCCCAGGTTGGGGTGGCTGCTGTTGGCACCCAGTCTGATACTATGCTGAAGTCTCGGACTCTGGAGCCTCGGCTGGATTCCCCGCGCCGCAGCCTGGCTGGTGGCTGGATAGTGAGAGAAGAGGAACCGGGGGCGCCGACGAGACTGTGCGGGCCGACAGCGTCAGCCTGTGGCGCTGTCTGCCAGCAGCCCGCTTTTCTGCAGCGGGTGGTGGGGCTGCACCACCACAGGAATCCTCTGAGGGGCGCGGGAGGTCTGCAGCGCTGACCCGCGCAGAGCCAGGTTACCTCGCCCAGCGCTGGCTTCCAGAGGTAACACGCAAGGCTTATTTCACAGCGGCTTAAAACTGCAGGAGGAAAGGAGCTCGTAAATAACCAGCGTGGTTTTCTTCCTTTCTTGGTTTAGAAGCTCCAGGCGCTCAGGCAATGGGAGGCTTGAATAGCAGTGTTTTCCCTTGAGTGGTTGTTATGGAGGTTAAAAAGGAATTAAATGGAAATTTCCAAAACTCAAGTTCCCTTTTGCGGTTTAAAAAATTTTGGGTTTTTTTTTGTTTTTTTGTAATCTCAGGAGCTTATGTGGTGGGTTTAGCAGTGAATTCAAGTAAGTCCTTGCTTTGGAATACTTTTGTTCATATTCCCATTCATGAGGAATTAGAAATAATTTTCTGTTCTAATCAGTGCGGAGTGAGGCCTTCATTCTTTAGGTAGCTTCATGGGAAGATCTCAAGGGGAAAAAAATTCTATATTCATTTTGAAATGATTCTGATCATCTGAGACCCAAAGCCGCTTCTTCCTCCTTGCCATGCTTCAAAATTAAAATCCTACATGGTGCCAAAGGAAGATTAAATGTTCAGGACCGCTTCTCTGACTTCTAGCTTCTTTTCTATTCTAAAAATTGGTTTTTTTGGAGTAATTTACAGTGGCCAAGAATTAAGGCAGGAGAAAAAAAAGTAGAGAATCAAAAACAAACAAAGTTCTTTAAAATTCATTAAATGCATATTTCTTCCTGACATTTCACTTCTCCCTCTGTTAATTATGTAGAGAGAGTTGAATTAGCCAAGGACCTGGTTTTCTTAATCCACAATTACAGTCCTGCGCCAAGACACCCTGGGGGCAGACCCTTTGGCAGCTCTGGTCCCAGGGTTCCAGTTGAGTGAGCATTCCAGGACAGGCCTGGGAATTCCTGGAGCATTGTGAAGGGGCGAGAGACAAGAGTTGTCTTTTTCTTGCCCTTGGGATTTGTGTCATAATACTGTTAAAAAAA